ATCACAATTCGATTAGTAGACACCATACTCACCGAAGTGGAGCCACGCGCTGGTGTTGTGAGGTTTTAAGTGAGGTAATGGAATATACCTTTTTCGTCCATATTTCATCAAAGTTAACGGAATTTCAGTTGCTGCGTCAAAGTTATTGGTGGCTGTCACTGAACATTGTTGCCCGAGCCTTGTCAGAAACTAGAGAATAACCCATAATGTTGTCAAGGCTTCCCCGAGCTTGATTTCAACGATTTCACACTCCAAAACCAACCCAAAACATGAATTAAGGTCTAGGGAATTACCTAAACCCAAAACACGAAGTAAGTTTATTTGTCATTATTTGTGGTAATTAGTGGGAAAATTAGTGGTTATGTGTAACTCTTGTAACCTTTTTTCTTTGTTAATTTGTGTTTATTACCCATTCACTAAGGCTGATAATAACATAATTATTAGCATTTTTCCCATTATCTTTTTATTTATGATCTCACTACCAATTTCCTAATAACTACAATCTTTATTCCTCATACTTTCTATCTTTTACTTATATTGGCCAAAAAAAAGTGTTCTTGTGGTGGAGCTTTGGACTCTTCTCTTTTTGTGCAGAAAGATTTGAGACAAAGACAATTTAGTTGGATTATTGCATCTTGGAGGGGACAAGTCAAGAGATATACTATTGCATCGGTTCATGAACTTTTGTCAAACTACAGTGGGCTTGAACTTCCTTAAAGAAAGCAAGATACTCGTGCTTAAGCCTAATTGTCTACGTGCTTCTTAGAAGAATATTAAATTTACTTGTAATTTTCCCAACGATGGATTTTAAACGATTTCTTTGTTGATTGAATTGTTGCAGGAGCTGTAGCTCCATTGAAGAAGTGAAAGAGGTGTACAGCTCCATTGAAAAAGTGAAAGAGGCGTACGATAATATTTCTTTAGTCTGGTATATCGTTATAATGATAGGAATTCCCACAATTTGACTAGTTTTGATAATTTCCAGAAGAAGAAGGCTCTGTGTGTCAAAGTTTCAAAAAGAAAACTCTACAATACTTCAAAATTTAATGCTTTTTTTTTCTTTAGGAACTTAGATGGGCATGCTTCGGATTCTTCCAATTTTATCAAGGTTGGCGAATTAAGTGGTTTCTCCACGGGACGGAGTTTTATTGTTACATGTAGATGGAAAACTTCATGTAGCCTGATGTTCGAGTAGGAACTTCGCTAGAGAGAGTCATTGGCTCAAGCACACAACTCCCCGAGGAGTTGGCACTTTGGTTGGTTGTTGGGCACTTTCTTGTCGAGAGGCTGCAAGAGAAGGACATAGTTAGTTCTGAAACGTGCCTTTATAGGGCCTTAGGTGTAGGCCTTGGAGTTTGCAATCAAAACTAACTAAGTACTAAGGCGTGCCACTGCCATCTTAGTATGGCAGATGTAGAACAAGTGTGTTTAAGTCGATTACTTACGCCCCAAGTTATTCTTACTTCTTGTTATTAAATGATTGTCGTTGATGGGTTAAGTCTACATTAAGTTCTTTTTTGTGCCTTGAGATCAAGGACTTTTAGTTCATTATCTTGTATGCTTAAAAGGGTGGAAGTCCAGATCTGACTAAGTCATTGGTTTAATCCCCATTTAGTTTTTCATGATTGTAAAAACCACTAAGTGAACTGGATCTGAGAACCAATGGAACTTTTGATCATCAAATGACTGGAAATAACTTGAATATACACTGAAGAGTACATCATAATACCATATCTACCAATTGAAAGACAAGACAAAGAGAATCGAGCAAGATTTCACCTTGTCGGGCAAGGTTGAATATCTTGCAATCTCTTCTCTTTGTGGTTATAGAGAGTGGTGTGTTAAAGAAGGATGGATGGTAAACAAGTTTACACAAGGGGATCGATACTACAACATCTAGAAAAGGTAGCATAACTTTTACACTGGACAAAAGATGTCTTTCTAAGGGAACTATTGGCTAAAAAGAGCTTGAGAGGTACGAACTAGCTTGAGAGCAGAGTTTGTATTCTTGTTCGTTTGATTGGTTCAGTGTCCTTGTCTATGGGCATTGTCTTCCCTTTTATAGACATTTCATCCTGGCTGTTGCAGGCTTTGCCCGAAAGCACTTCAGTGAGTCATCTAGAAAGTGTTTTTGGGCTGAGAGTAAGTTGATTTCCATCGGTTGTCACTTCCCATGTAAGCACATAGCCTTTGCATTAATGATGAGCCATCATATTGTCTTGAGATTAATGGCTGGGCTTGGTGCTGGGTTTCGGGTAAGTCTCCTTACTTTAGTTCTTTTGGGCTTTCCTTCCTTTACATCCAAAGTTCAAATATTAACCCAAACAATGGCCCCTTTAATCATTGTTGAGTCTACGACCCAAGACGCTGATAATGATTAAATAGTCGTCGCACGCCCTCACTCGGGACTTGCACCACTTTAAACAACCATTTATTAGCTAAACCTTTACACTACCCTATGAATTCTAACCGTCAATTAACCATTTATATAAACCCCCTCTCTTGGCTAAATACCTTAGCCACTTCGAATCTTCCAACTTCTCAAAACTTACTAAGCCTTCTTAATTTCCAGAAATTTTCCTTTCCTTTAGGAGTGGTTTGGAAGTGAGGTGCTTAAAAAAAAAAGCACCCATGAAAAAAAGTTGTGAGAGTTTTAGGTGTTTGGTAAACTGAAAAAAAAAAGCTTATTTTGGAAGCTGCTGTGAGAATAAGTTGAAATCAAAGGAAAAAGCTGAAGCTGCTATTTGCAGCTTTGGAAAACTGGTTTTTTTTCAAAGCACACGGAGCTACAATGCTCCTTTAATGAAAAGACCCACTATCAAACTGCTTTTTTTTTCCAAAAGCACTTTTACAAAAAATTTTACCAAACACTCTGCTGATTTATTTCATAGCCGCTTATTCTCACAGCACAGCCGGTTATTCTTACAGCAGCTTTTTTTTCAAAGCACAGCAATACCAAACCAGCCCTTACTCTCTTATTCTTTTACTCCTTCTTCGAATTCTCTTAGATGGCGCCAAAAACTATTCCTGCTTAATCTCCCTGTGAAACTATTGAGGGAATCTCCACCATGTGTTGCTTGCTCAATGGTCTTCATCGCCTTCGGACTGGTTTACACACTGAACTTTTCCTTGAGAAGGGAGGAGTGCATTACTTGGGCCTAAGGCCATTGGGCAGGGTCGTAGATGTTACCCATGACTGGTCATTGGCTTCCACAGTATCCTCAGAAAAGCGTACTGCATCTAGCTTCTGTTTCAGGACTTCTATGGCATTGAGGAGTGCATTGATGAGTAGCCGAGCAGTTTTAATCACACCAGTAGATATCACTCGTGCTTATATCCACAAGCCCAGACTTCCCTATATCTTCTGCTTTCTTGATCACTTCATCATCATATGTGTATGCTTTGGGATCAACTACCATGACTTTGTTAGCCAAAAACCTCGGTCAAGTTTATGGACGACGACTCCGAAGATTTGAAGAAGTCAAGATGGAAAATGGAAGTTGGATATGCTAGAACATATTTAGCTAATAGTAACATTGCTTAGGAGGAGTCGGGTGAAATGTAGACCCATCATTCTAGGATAGCGGCCTTAGTCAAGAATGTAAAACTATTAAGTTAATTCTGATGTAATTTTCAACATTTACTGAAATGAAAATGACTTCTTCAATTCACTTTGGCTTGCATTCTTTTCTTGAGACCCAAATATGATGAGCATAAAACTGACTTTAGATTTCATGCAAAACTCATACTTCTTCTACGTAGCAATCCCTAACATCCCACAAGGTCTGGTGATATTTTTTTTAAGAACTTAGCGTTGATTGGATATTTCTGTAAGTCTCCCTCCACATCTACTAAGTAATATCCACCCTTGTCCAGTACTTGGTTAACAATGAAATGACCTTCCTAAGTCAGGCTCCATTTCCCAAAGCCTCTAACTTGAACTCCCAAAGGCAAAATTGCTTTCCAAACCAATTCTCTTTTCTTGAAGGTCTTTAATTTTACCTTCTTGCTATATGCACGGACAACGGCTCTTTTCCCCTCTTGAATTTTGTCCAGAGCTTCAATTCGAGCTATCTCTAAATCTTCAACTCCTTGACACATAACCTGAATATATTCTTCACTGTGTAGCCCGAACTAGTTCTGAATCCTAATAGAACTCACATTGATCTCCATGGGGAGTACATCATTTTGCCCAAAGGTTAGAGCAGAATGAGTAGTTCCAATCGCTGCTCTCATGGAAGTTCTATAAGCCCGTAAAGTATCTCCTAACTTCTTATGCCATCTTTTTGGACTTTTGGCCACCATTCTTTTGATAATGTTCACCAGGACCTTGTTACTAGCTTCTGCTTGGCCATTTGACTGGGGGTAGTAAGGACTAGACTAACCATCTTTATTTTGAACTTACTTGCAAACTCCTCTACTTTTTTTGAAATAAAAGATGGCTCGCGGTCTGTGACAATTGTCTCGGGCACTCCAAATCTGTGTAAGATCTTGGTTTCACTGAACTTCTTGATTGCAGTTGAAGTGATAGTCTTCACAGCTGAGGCTTCTACCTATTTGGTGAAATAATATGTTGCCACAATTATGAACATGTGTCATTTGCTAGAGGCTGGGTAAATTAGCCCGATGAAATCCATTGCCCATCCTCTAAAGGGCCACAATTTGACTACGGGGTTCAAGGGTATTGAGGGCACATGTTGGCATGGTCCATGTCTTTGGCATTCTTCACACCCTCGACCGTAAGCTTTGCAGTCTTTCTCCATCTCAGGCCAGAAATAGCCATATCTTCTAAGCAACCATCTCATCTTAGTTCCAGCCTGGTGTGCTTCATAAATTCCTTCATGTACTTCTTCAGCCATTACCCTAATTGATTCTTCTTGGCCTAAGCACTTCAGTAATCCATCTGGAGTCTTCCTTACCATAGATTTATCCCACATGACATATTTAGTTGTTTGTTTTTTATTTTTCTTATGTGTGGGGAAGGATGGATCTTTCAAATACTAAACAATAGGTGTCCTCCAATCTTTCATCTCCATTTCGTCAGTCATTATATCTAGGCTGAATCCTCTTTCAAAGATAGAATGAGGATTTCTTTTTTGAACTTCTATATCCCCTTCAAACTTCCTTGCTTGGACATGTGCTCCAGAAGCTAATTGTGCCATTTCATTGGCAATTGCATATGATTCTCTAGGGATGTAGCTGACTGATATTTCAGTGCCCCAATAACTTAACAATTGAGTGGCCGCTAAGTAATACCCAGTTATGGTGATATGTCTGCACTTGTATTCTCCATTTAACTGATTAATCACCAATTCTGAATCACCAAACACCTCAACTTCAGTTGCCCCCAACTCTATTAGGATTTCCAAGACAATTATCAATGCCTCATACTCTGCCCGATTGTTGGTAGTCTCCTGATAATCTAGGAAGAATGGTTAATAGTGTTGAACCTCGTTAGGATCAATAATAACCATCCCAGCTTTAGCAGCATTTTGGGTACAAGATCCATCAAAATACAACCTCCATAGAGTGATCTACAGGCTGGATATCCTCTTTACTTTCCGCTGAGCCCATTCTTCCTTGCTCGAAAGGGCCTTGCTTGGTGGGATCCAAAGGTTAGCCACCTCTAAAGTTCCAGGGATGTTGATAATCTCATCTTCTGCCTCTTGATGCTCGACTAAGAAATCCGCTATTGCTTGCCCCTTTATTGCCCTTTGTGGTACATATTGAAAGCTAAACTCTGACAGTACTAGAATCCACTTTCCAATTCTCCCTGTCAACATTGGTTTTGACAGTATATATTTGATCATGTCAGTCTTGGCAATAATGTGGATGTGGCAAGGCAACATGTAATTTCTTAGATTGTAGGCAATAACGTACAGAGCTAAACATAATTTTTCCACTGGAGTATATCTTGTCTCTACCTCAGTAAGGATTCTACTGAGGTAGTATATGGCTTGTTCCTTCCCGCCTTCATTATTTTGGGCCAGCAAGCTTCCAATTGATTTCTAAGAGGCAAAAATATAAAGCTTTAAAGGCTTCCCTTTCTGAGGTGGCATGAGCACTAGTGGAAAGGCCAAGTAAGTCTTTATGCTGTTGAAGGCTTCTTGGTATGGTGGACCCCATTCAAACTCTTCTTTATCTTTCAACCTTAGAGGAGGAGTTAGCGGCTAAATCTTGCCCCCCAAGTTAGCAATAAATCTCCTTAAGAAATTGATTTTTCCAAGCAGCCTTTGCAATTGTACTTTATTAGTGGGAGAAGGTGATTCCATTATTGTTCGAGCTTTGTTCTTGTCGACTTCTACCCCTCTTTGATGAACAAGGAATCCAAAAGCTACCCGATCTTACCCCAAAAGCACTCTTCTTTGGATTCATTTTTAACTTATGGATCCTCATTCTTGTTAAGACTTGTCTGAGGTCTATTAGATGCTGCTCTTCAGTCTTAGATTTCAGCATGATGTCATCAATATATACCTCCATGCTATGGCCAATTAAGTCATGAAAAATGGTTTTCATTGCTATTTGATAGGTTGCACTGACATTTTTGAGCTCGAATGACCTTACCAAGTACTCATATGCTCTGACATAACCCGGGCACCTAAAAGCTGTTTTATGTAAATCTTCTTTAGCCATTTTTATCTAATTGTATATAGCATTCCCTTCCATGAAAGATAGAACTTTGTGCTTGGCAACTGCATCTATGGATAGGTCAGCCATAGGCATGCGGTATTCATCTTTAGGCATGGCTTCATTAATGTTTCTATAGTCAACACAACATCTAACTGCATTAATTATAGCTTTTAATATAGGTACAATGTTGGCCAACCACTCGACATATTTGGCAGGCCTAATAAATCCAACCTTCATCAGCCTTTCGATCTCTTCTTTGACCTTTTCTTCGATCTCTTTTTACATCATTCGTGGTGCCTGCTTGACAGGTTTAAACCCCTCCTTAATAGGCATCATGTGTTCTACTAAGGTTGAATCTAAACCTGGCATTTCGATGTAGTGCCAAGCAAAATAGTTTTTATATTTATGTAGAAGGTTGACAATCCTTACCCGAACTTCGATTTCCAACAAACTGATCTGTATAGCTCTCGGATCTTCCTTAGTTCCCAAATCAATGGTCTCCAAGGGGTCTTGTACTTCTGGGGCGGTTTATCAGGCTCTACACGCAAAAATTCAACTAACTCTGGACTTTTGGGCAAATCCTCTGGCCTATCCAGGTCATATATACATTCAGCTATTTGGATGGCTGCTTCTAACTCCTTCCCAAAACATTATTCTTTACACATTTGGCTGCTAGAAGCCTATTTGTTCCAATCATTTTCTTCCTTGGCTGAGTTCTCATTCTCTTGTTTTCTCTCTCTTATACACCAACTGTCTTTTTATTAAGGACCTTGTTTGTACCATACTTGACCAATCCCAAAACTACTGAGTATCAGTCAACGTTATACCGTCAAGGACCCAGAAGAGTTTCCCTCCAACCAGGAGGCCAATCACAGCGCGACACGTGTCGACATCAGAAGCCAATCATAGCGCGACACGTGTTAACATCAGAAGTCAATCACAACACGACACGTGACAATGTCAGAATGAAACTTGAAACTCTCTTCTATAAATAGAGATCATTCTCTCACAATATTTCCGAATGTCATTTGTACTAAATCATTCACTAGTACTCACTAAAGGAGAGCTTGAACCTATGTACTTGTGTAAACCCTTCACAATTAATAAGAACTCCTCTACTCCGTGGACGCAGCCAATCTGGGTGAACCATGTACATCTTGTGTTTGCTTCCCTGTCCATATCCATTTACATACTTATTCACACTAGTGACCGGAGCAATCTAGTGAATGTCACAAACTTAACATTTTTTGTTGTACCAAAGTCCTCACTGATTTTGTGCATCAACATTTGGCGCCGTCTGTGGGAACGACACTTATTCCCACTTTCTTTAGCTTTGCCAAGTTGGTTTCCACCATTCGTACACTCTCTTTTGACCAAGCATCCATCTCCAACATGGGGAGTGAAGGAAGCCACATCACACAGAATGACACCCCTCTTGCACCTAGTGCGAAGCAACGAAAGAATGAAGGAAAAATGGTTCCTCTTCAAGCTAAAGTCGATGAGAGCTCAAAACAACAAGATAGCAATGAAGAATGAGGTCTTCTAAGAGCAGTATGAGAAGCTCTTTGAGACGCTCCACGAAACTAGGCGTACTCAAACACGCAAGCTTGTTGCCCCTATGGACATCAACCATCATCTGGGTACCCCCCAACACGGAAGGCACCTCCATTTGACATGGGTATCCCTGATGAGGAGGGAGCTAATCATCAAAACATTGATCAACATGAGACTTTTCTCAACCCAGATGCTTCAACCCGAAGCAGGAGAAGTGGAGGAAGACACCTCATTGTAGAAGGGTTGGAAGGATCGAAAACTGTTTATCGTGACTGCCGAGACTTCCTAAAGCAACGTCGAGAGAATCCCCTCCATATATGCTTGAAGATCAATGACCTAAGGGTTTCTGAAAGACTCGGTCCCTTCCCATGACCCAGGCCCGCTACCAATCTAAGGAAGGAATAACAGGTCCCAGAGGAACATGAAGGTACAGGGGACTCTGAGGTATTTCGATAGACTCACCTTAAAAGTCAGTACGACGAGTTCAAGAAAAAACCACACGCCATTGCTCAAACTTTCATACTTCCAAGAGGAGATGGAGACTTACGAAAGAAAATTCCAGTGGTACATGGCTCCACTCAGGACCCCCTTGTCCTATAGCTCATTGAAAAAGTAAACAAGTTGAAGGCCGAACGTCAGGCCGAGATACCTGACTGGAACCAACCCAGGTCTAGCCCTCTCACAAGAGAGATCCTCGACACGCCCCTTCAAGCAAAGACAAAACAAAAGCTTGGTTTACAACTATATACTGGAAGGGAGGACCCAATTGAACACCTTAACCTCTTTGAGTCCACCATGGCATATTGGATGCACACCGACAAAGGGCGATGTCTTTTCTTCCCCTCTACCTTTTCTGGTGGAGCTTTAAACTGGTATTGCCGTCTTCCACTTGAGACAGTAGACTCATTTGAGGAACTGAGGAAATTGTTTGTTTCTCAACACATCTTCCAGACCGATCGCTTGCATTCTATAGATGACTTGTACACTATTTGCCAGAAGCCGGACGAGTCACTACGAGAGTATGCCAATCGCTTCAGCCATGAGTATTCTCGCTGTGCTGAGGCAGATGATAAGACCGCCCTCAAGGCCTTCACGGTAGGTCTACATGATTGTTTCTTCAAGTACATGATCAATGCCAACACTTGGAATACTTACTCTGAGGCGATGGCACAGGTTTACAACCACGCCTCCGCCGAAGCAAGGACATACCAAGGGAACCCCCATATGGTTAATCTCTATCAACAAGTGGGAAGTGGAAGTCAAGTTCTACCAAGTGAGGAGATCTTGGCCATTCAGACACCCATTGCATCATCTCCTGCCTCATTTAGCTACTCGCTAAGTCACCAAACGTATCTGTCTCTTGGTAAGAGGAAGGATTTTTACTCTCAGCAAGCCTATTACAACAAGAGGGATAAAAGTTCGTATCAAGACAACTAGGGGTAAACGTACTGTCGACTATTATGACTATTAGGCCAAGCCTCACTCTTTCAAAGTGGAAGACTAGGTACTGAAGGAAATGCTATTATAAGAAGGCATACACATTACAAATGTTTTGACTCTCAACCGCTTGAGATCTTTTGTCACACAAGCCATTCGGTAAATATTTAAAGAAGAGGGAATTCAGACAACTTTTTCTGAGTCTTTTGCGTTCCTAGCACTGGAACACTTGGTCTACACTAACCTACCCTTATACTCCAACTCAGAGCCTCAACATGCATACTTTGACACAAAGTATGTGATACTAAGTGTTACAACCAACATGGATCACATATCAAAAGCATGGATCCCTTCATGCATAGCAAAACATTCATAAGCATCGCTCATATCAATCAACATAAACATCATACATTCCAACACATTCATACATAAACACTATACATTCCAACACATTCATACATAAACATCATACATTCCAACACATCCATACATAAGCCAATTGTGATTCGAAAGGGTTCAACATACTTTGTGTCTTCAACACTTGCTACAATGTGCCTCGACACCTTGCCCTTATTCTTACTAACCAGGTGAAGAAGGAACTCATCTTCATGCCACCAACCAGGTGATGAAATGTACAACCCGTACTCTAATATCATTTGGCAACTTGCCACTCATGCCACCAACCAGGTGAAGAAGGAACTCATCTTCGTACCACCAACCAAGTGATGAAAACAACTCACCATTCATTCCACCTACCGGAAGACGAGTGGTACAACTTGTACATGTGAACTCCTAGCATTCACAAATAATCAAGACAATGTGAAGCAAAACCAATTTATGGTGCTAACAAGAGCTTCATCAAAGGAGTTTAACCATAATTCTCAAAAGCTTCACACACTCTTGATCAAGACAGTGTGAAGCAAAACCAATTTATGGTGCCAACAAAAGCTTCATCAATGGAGGGTAATCACAATTCTCAAAAGTTGCACACACTCTTGATCAAGACAGTGTGAAGCAAAACCAATTTATGGTGCCAACAAGAGCTTCATCAAAGGACTTCAACCACAATTCTCAAAAGCTTCACACACTCTTGACCAAGACAGTGTGAAGCAAAACCAATTTATGGTGCCAACAAGAGCTTCATCAAATGAGTTCAACCATAATTCTCAAAAACTTCACACACTCTTGACCAAGATAGTGTGAAGCAAAACCAATTTATGGTGCCAACAAGAGCTTCATCAAATGAGTTCAACCATAATTCTCAAAAGCTTCACACACTCTTGATCAAGACAGTGTGAAGCAAAACCAATTTATGGTGCCAACAAGAGCTTCATCAATGGAGGGCAACCACAATTCTCAAAAGCTTCACACACTCTTGATCAAGACAGTGTGAAGCAAAACCAATTTATATTGCCAACAAAAACTTCATCAAAGGAGTTCAACCACAATTCTCAAAAGCTTCACACACTTTTGATCAAAACAGTGTTAAGCAAAACCAATTTATGGTGCCAACAAAAGCTTCATTAATAGAGGGCAATTACAATTCTCAAACCTTCGAAGCAAATTCAAGACTGTTTGAAGCAAATTCAATTTATATGGCTCATCCAAACTTTCAACTACTACAATGTGTGACTTGCATCACAATCTCTTGCTCAACAGTGTGGAAGCAAAATTTGTATATGTTGTCTCTCCCACATTTTCAAATTTCTATTTCCCAAAAAAAAAAAAAGGAAATTCAACAAAGCTTCATCAATGGAGGACAACTACAAATTCTCAAAAGCTTCACACTATCTTCATCAAGATAGTGTGAAGCAAAATCAATTCATGGTACCCAACAAAGCTTCACCAACAAAAGCTTCATCAATGGAGGACAACCACAAATTCTCAAAAGCTTCACACTATCTTGATCAAGATAATGTGAAGCAAAATCAATTCATGGTACCCAACAAAAGCTTCAACTCCAAAGATTCACCAACAAAAGCTTCATCAATGGAAGACAACTACAAATTCTCAAAAGCTTCACATTATCTTGATCAAGATAGTGTGAAGCAAAATCAATTCATGGTACCCAACAAAAGCTTCAACTCCAAAGCTTCACCTACAAAAGCTTCACCAACAAAAGCTTCACCCACAAAAGCT